CCCATCCATCTATCCATCCATCCACCCATCCATCCATTCATCCACCCATCCATCCACCCATTCATCCATCTATCCATCCACCCATCCATCCATCCATCCATGCATCCATCCTTCCATCCACCCATCCATCCATCCATCCATCCATCCATCCTTCCATCCACCCATCCACTAACCAACAAGATGCCGGAAGAGGACGCGTTCGAGGTTTTCGCGCGTCTGATGGTGTCGTCCTCGTACAACCTGCGTGAACTCTTCAAGCCCTCGATGGCCGCCCTAGGGCTGAGGCTCTTCCAACTGGAGCACCTTATCATGGTGGGTGGAGGCTGGCTGCTGTTGTTGCGACCACCATTCACCATCATCATCATCGTTGTCATCATCATCCATCATCATCATCCATCATCATCATCCATCATCATTATATCCATCACCATCATCCATCCATCATCATCATCAACCGCAACAACATCCATCGCCATCATTATCAGGATCACCTGCCGGAAATACATTCCACTTTTAGTTGCCTGGGTATAGAGCTCTCCATGTTTGCATCCTCTTGGTTCCTTGCCATGTTCGCCACCACTCTGCCATTGGATCTCGTTAAAAGGTTCATTAACATAATATATTATAATTTATTATCATAATTTATTTATATTACTATTATTCATATTAGTATTATAACTGCTTATTAAGTTAATTGATGGTGGTGTGGCTATATTGATAATAGTAAAAATAAACCATCATAATGACAAGGTAGGGGCAAAAATGATGGTTTCTTTTGAAATATAAATACTTCGTCTTTTTACTAAGTCATAAAACTGAATAGTTTTATGGCGTTATGATAATGATAGTACTAAATTAACCTTTAACCTTTATTATTATTGTTATTATTATTTCGATTTTACTTTTCAAATTTTTTTAGAGGCAGAGCAACGGCACACACACACACATTGTGACACATACACACACACACAACATGCATGTGATAAGCGGGGATCGCCGTGCAGTCGAACCCGGTCACTGCGTGGTAGTAGCAACCAATGCTAGGCACTCTACCGCTACGCCATCTGGTAGTAATAAACAATAATGAAGGTTAATTATTTTTATCTAGGTCATTTGATGCGCTGCTCTGCTTCGGCGAAGAGGTCATTTTTAGGTCAGTTGATGCTTCGGTTCATGTAATCTTTTTGATAATATCATCATCATCAACAACAACAACATCAACAACAGCAACAACAATAACATCAACAGCAACAACATCAACAACATCAACAACAACAGCAACAACATCAACAACAACAACAACATCAACAACAACAACGTTATCAAAAGTAATAATGATAAGCAACTATCAACTACCGATAGATTACTATTATTGTTATTTATCATTGTTGTTTTTGTTGTTGCTGTTGTTGTTGCTGTTGTTGTTGCTGTTGTTGTTGCTGTTGTTGTTGCTGTTTTTGTTGCTGTTGTTGTTGCTGTTTTTGTTGCTGTTGTTGTTGCTGTTGTTGTTGTTGTTGCTGTTTTTGTTGTTGTTATTATCAGGCTCCAGGACTATTGTTGTACAACTCGAACATGAGAGTCGTTTTAACGTAGCCTCACTGCTCATCGGCATTATAAAGTTATTTAGCCGTTGTATGTATATGTTTCAATTTGGTACTAAATTGATGGAAAAATTGCCAGAGATATGTCTTCGTTTTTAAAATTACAGTTTGATAAATGTTTTTAATTTTAATAAATTTATTTACATAATTTTAATTTCAAAAACTCGCTTACTTCGCTTACTACTGACAACGCAACAACGTGCCCGCATTGTTCTAAAGAATTAAAGTTTATCAACGGACACTCCTTGAGGTACACTAACTTACAACCGAACTCAAATTTAGATGCTTCTATAGACAACAACATTAATATCTCTCCCAATTTATTACTAATTATTCTTACTTATTACTAATTACTCCTTATTTTTTTTTTCTAACAAATAATAATAATATCTTACCGAATAATTCTGATTATTATACGTTGACATGTTGTTGGGGAGAACGTTACAAAGGTCGAATCGATAAGGACTTACAATGCGTCAGAGGTCATGCAAAACCTACAAACTTCTAAGAGCTAGCCGATAGTGACGACAGTTATCCAAAATGGAAAGATCGGCCAAGGTTTTACTTATCCAGGCATAGTATATGAATACCATGGTTACGAACAGAATGCAAACAGCATGATTCGCACAAAAGTTGCTCAACTATTGGAAACAACCACAAAATTAAATGTCAGCCGACAAAAAAATTTTCAAATTTTAAGAAGGTACATACCTTCACAGCTAAATTTTGAACTGCGCAGCTACAAGTTTTTGCTGACTTGGGTATCAGAAAATTAGATTTGGCCTGATTGTAGAGGCAGCTAGTGAATGGCTAAATATGCCGAGCAGCAGCTGCGTATCGGGATTACTATCATCGTCTTTGAAAATGCCAGGGCACGACATCATCTCGCTGAAAGATACCGCGGAGAAAATAAGACCGAAACTGAGTAATTATTTCAAGATCAGCAGAAATAAAAAAATTAAATCTTTATGGAGAGAATCATCCATCGACTATACCAAGGTTGACAATGAACTTGCGAAGGAGGGCACGTTAAAAGCATCGCTCAAGCAGTTGGGAGATAAGAGGATTGAATCTAGTTTAAATCATATACGCTCACTGCAGAGTCAAGGTTCCCCTGATTTCAAAAATAAAAAGTTTTATTCAAACAGCCCGCATATCATATTGGTCAAAAACAATAAAAAATCTAAGCGAAGTCTACTACAAATTTGCCAGAAAATATCTGGTCTAACAAATTTTTTAAAATGGGGAAAAACACAAAGTCCCCTATGCCAATTGTGTGGTCTTCGCCAGACAAATGACAGGGTTAGGGTTAGGAAGACATAACAGGGTGCTGACCGTAATCATCAACTTGCTAAAAATATGTTCTCCTGCCAGTTGCATCCTATTTGCATCATACTTAGATCTAGAGGATGATCCTATAACACAGCTGTTCAACACCTTTCGTCCGGACATTGCCATTCTCTACAACGACAATATAGAAGTTCTAGAATTAACAGTCTGCCGTGAAACCAACCTTGAATTCTCCAGACAATACAAAAGAAATAAATACTCGAATAGTTTAAAATCTTACTTGATTGACAACTACAACCGTTACTCGATTACTAGTAGTAACTCATTCGAAATAACACCTGTTGGTCACTACAATAATTTTAACCTTTCTTTATTTAGAGTTTTACTGCCGAATTAATTTAATGACAAGCTAATAAGTGAAGTGAAAAAATTTTCGTAAAATATTTATTGTGAAAAAGACAGGCTACGATGCTAATACAAATATATCCTACCGCACTACACCTGTCAGCTCAGTGAGCTCTGGGGTCTTATCTGCACTCTTTTAATAAAATTTTATTAATTTTATTAACGCTATTATTTTACTTTATTTTATTTCATGAATTTTGTTCTAATCGTTTGCTTTTAAAGTTTTGAGATCAATAAAAGTATTTCTGTTATTATTGTTATTGTTATTATTATGGATAAGCACGAATAAGCACAAATAAGCACGTAGTTTCTAATTGTGGTTCTACATCCGCTCTGGCAAGATATACCGAAAGACTCAACAGGATATTGGCCGTGATCATCAATTGGCTGAAAATATCCGCTCCAGCCAATAGCTGCATATTTGCAGATTTAGAGTCTGAGGGTATTCGCCCAATATCTCAATTATTCAACACTTTACGACCCGATATCGCCATACTTCAAAATAACAAAATTGAGATTCTAGAATGAACTGTGTGCCATGAAACCAATCTAGAATCCTCCAGGCAATACAAGAGAAATAAATATTCTAATAATTTGCATTGTAGTTTAAATAAAGACTATGAACATTGTTCAATAGTTATAAACTCATTCGAAATAACGCCTATTGGTTTTTACAATAATTTTAATTTGTCACTGTTTAAAGTTCCATGGCCGCTGATAAACACTGTTATAAGATTATCGTATGACATTTACTGTGACAGGAACAAGCTATGATGCTAATTAAATATATTTCACCGTTCTGCACTTAACTTCACAATGAGCAAAATGGTCTTAACCTTTAATATTATTTTATACAATTTTTAAAAATTTTTATCATTGCGCATTATTTAATTAACATTAACTTATATATATATATATATTTTTATCATTGTCTGTTTTTTATGGTGAAAAATGAAAGATGTTCCCATTATTATCATTATTATTATTATTCTTATTATTATAATAATCATCTTACGCAATTTACCGTGATAGGAACACGATTTGAACGTAATTTAACGCTGACTCTATTTCTCTTTCTGCCCATTTAAAATGTATGGCGAGCACTGTAGAATGTCTAAACAATTTACATTATAAGTTTTATTACTTTAATTTTATAATTACAATGTATATTTTAAAATAGAAATAAAAAGATGTTTTCATTATTGTTGTTATTGTTGTTATTATTATTGTTATTGTTGTTGTTGTTGTTGTTATCCTACAGGCTAGGGTTGGCGCTGTTGAAGGTGAACGCTGACGTCATCCTCTCCTTGGATATGGATAGTATGGTTCAGTACCTACAAGTAAGTGCGTTTGCTTAGCTGGATGAATAGATAGATGGATGGATGGATGGTTGGATGGATGGATGGTTGGATGGATGGATGGAAGGATGGATGGATGGATGGTTGGAGGGATGGATGGATGGAAGGATGGATGGATGGTTGGATGGATGGTTGGAAGGAGGAATAGATGAATGAGTGAGTGAGTAATAGGTTGAAAAGGTTAAATGTTGCACTCTCTTTTGCACTTGCTTCAGAGGTTTCAGCGACAAACACACACAGCGAATATGAACACGCATCGCCTATGATAGACGGGGATCTCTTTGTATTTGAACCCAGTCACTGCAGCAGCAAAACTAGGCGCTTTTAACCATTGAGCCATCACGGTAATGAGTGAGTGAGTGAGTAAATGAGTGAATTAATGAATGTAGGTTTGATGAATAGTTGGATAAGTGAATGAATGAATGGATGGTTGGTTGAATAAATGGATGGATTATTGGATGAGTAAATGAATGATTGAGTGGATAAAGAAACGAGTGAATGAATGAATGCATGCATGCATACATGAATGAATGAATGAATGAATGAATAAACAAATATATTCACGAATGATGAATAGCTAGTTGAACATTTAGATAGATTATTGAATGAACGATTTAGTAGATGAGACAATGATTGGATAAAGAAATAAGTGAATGAATTAATGATGAATGAATGAATGAATGAATGAAAGAATGAATGAATGAATGCAGAGAGAGTTGGGTTCGAAAGCAAGCGAGGACGTGGAGGAATTCTTTTCGTGTGCGTTCCAATTTAAAATCAACCAAAAGAAACTTAAAAGGTCTGACTGTTATCATCATCGTCGTCATCATCATCGTCATCATTATCATATCATCATCATAATTATCATAATTTTAGTCAGTATCATTATCATAATCGTCACTGTCATCATTTTCACTATCGTTATCATCATCATCATCACTATATTCATCATCATCATCATTGTATTTATCATCATCATCGTCATCACCATCACCACCATCACCACCAAAGACTAGAAAAAGATTACGAGCAAACAAAGAAAGAACAGTCCATAGAACAGTTAGAAGTGAATAAGTTGAAAACAGAGAACAAAAAGTTGTCGGAAAAAGTGATAGCGCTAGAAAAAGAAACCAAAGATCTCGCTAACAAACTTATATCCAGGTTGCTTGTTGTTGTTGTTGATGTTGATGTTGTTGTTGATGTTGTCGTTGTCGTCGTTTTCGATGTTGTTGTTAATGTTGTCGTTGTTGATGCTGTTGTTGATGTTGTTGTTGATGTTGTTGTTGATGTTGTTGTTGATGTTGTTGTTGTTGTCGTTGTTGATGTTGTTGTTGTTGTCGTTGTTGTTGTTGATGCTGTTGTTGTTGATGTCGTTGTTGTTGATGTTGATGTCGTTGTTGTTGTCGTTGTTGTTGTTGATGTTGTTGTTATAAATGGTATCGGTTTCATTCATTTTTAATGTTTCTGTAATCATCAAATTTATCATCATCATAATCATCATTATTATCATGACAATCATCATCATCATCAATACATATGTCGTCATCATCAGTATAAGAATATTCATCATCGTCATCACAGTCGTCATCATCATCATCATCATCATCATCATCATCATCATCATCACATTTGTCGTCATCATCATCTTCGTCATTACAATCGTCATCATCACCATCATCATCATCATCGTCGTCGTCGTCGCTGCAATCGTCATCATCACAACCACCCACCACCAGTCAAGTGCTGTGTGCCCAGTTAAACGAGGAATCCGAACAACTACGTCACATCCTGAACGAGGTCAGAAAACTTCTCGTCAAAAAGGAAAGTATCAATTTTAGAAATTCTGCTGAATTTCCGCAAAATTCCGGGAATTTCCAACCTGTTGATTCCGGGAATTCCCAACCTGTTGATTCCGGAAATTTCCAACCTGTTGATTCCGGGAATTCCCAACCTGTTGATTCCGGAAATTTCCAACCTGTTGATTCCGGAAATTTCCAACCTGTTGATTCAGGGAATTCCCAACCTGTTGATTTCGGGAATTCCCAACCTGTTGATTTCGGGAATTCCCAGCCTGTTGATTCCGGGAATTCCCAACCTGTTGATTCCGGGAATTCCCAGCCTGTTGATTCCGGGAATTCCCAACCTGTTGATTCCGGGAATTCCCAACCTGTTGATTCCGGGAATTCCCAACCTGTTGATTCCTGGAATTCCCAACCTGTTGATTCCGGAATTCGCGAAGATGCTTTTTCTGGAAATTCCACGGCTACTATTTTTGAAAATCCTGAAGGGATTAATTTTGGAAACTCCATCACCATGAATAGAGATGATGATAAGAGTAAAGTTACTAAAAGTAATGCTAGCTTAAATAGGGGTAGTAGTGGTCGCAGTGGTAGTAGTGATAGCAGTGGTAGCAGTGGTAGTAGTAGCGACTATAAAAAGAACAGTACTAACAAAATACTTGCATACGATGAAGGACTGCTTTCACATCCAAATACTCTCAATAATCTTCCTACTTCTTTAAATACTGCTACCACCACTACCACTACTACTGCAGCTGCTGCAGTTGCTGCAGTTGCTCCTACAATTACTTCTACCACTGATAAGAGTGTTTCTAATACTGCCTCTGACGGTAATACTGCATCTAATAATACTAGTCTCCAATGTAGTAATTGCTATGAAATTGAGGAAGAACTCGATAGCGAAAAGGAGGTGATTCTATTGGCTGAAGTAGAATCGCTGCGTGAAGAGCTGATTGGCTGCAAGCTGAGAGAGGCGGAGTCTAACATGTCAATCAAAGAACTTCAGCACCAGATCTATGAAGTTGGTGGAATTTTTTTTTTCAAATG